CCGCGCCCCCGAGCCGCCCCCGACGCCCCCTGTGTCTCGTAGGGATCCAGGTGCGCCACGACCAGGACGGAGGCTACATGCACCACAAGTTCGCCATCGTGGACCGGCGGGGGGGGGGGGCCGGGCTCGCGGGCAGGGCGGCAGCACCAGAGCAACCGGGAGAACGTGATGGTGCTGGAGGACGCCGAGTACGTGAAGGCCTTTCTGGAGGAGTTTGAACGGATCTGGGAAGAGTACAATCCCGTCAATTACAGCTTTTTTCCCCAAAGACAGTAAATGATTGAGCTGCCTCTCGGGGCCGGTGGAGTGCTTAGCACCCATGAATTTCATGATTATGTGTAAACACTACTGTTCTATCTACCTGGGCATAACTTAGGTATAACTCCTCCAGAGGAGTAAAGTGCTCTCTGCCCTTAAAATGCCACAGATGCCTTGCTGTGGGTCGTTCCCATGCTAGAGGGAACGACCCGACTGCTTTGGGAGTTGTTTTGTGAGAGTAACAGTGCTAGAGCTGAATTCATAGCCCTTAAAACCCTGGGCAGGCTCGTTGCTGTGCCCTGGCACAGACAAAGTATGTTCATACAGCTCTGGGCAGGTGTTTCGGGGTAAAAGGAACATTTTCCAACTTGGGATGCTGCAAGTGGCTCCTCTACATCAGTAACCCTAACGAGAGAGGGTTACAGCAGTTAGAGGCCGTGTAGATTAAGCACCTCAGTTATGTTTGTTGTTGGCATTAATTGTTCAAGGCTTGTAAAAGGAAATTTGTGGGAAAGAGGGAGAAATTAGAAGCTAAGTTTTGGCTGTGGACACAGTTTGTCTGGAGAGCAGACACAGCTGCAGTTGGGTCACCCACGCCAGGAAAGGTCTGGAAACTGGTTCCCTCAGGTGCTGGGCCTGGGGCAGTGATCTTACCTGTGCTGCAGCAGGAGTGTGAGCTCTGTCCCTGCAGCTCAGTGTGGAATAAAGGTGGTGTAAACCTAAATATTTCAAGCTAAACAGAATTACTTTATAGTGAACAGAAAGTGCCTCAAAAAAAAAAATTAAGTCTTAATATTCTGTTGCCAGTTTTGTTACCAGAAGTACTGTGATTGTCACTGTTAAATAAACCATTTTTACAGGAACCCTCAATCCTCATGTGGTTTTTGCACTCCAATTTCTCTAGATCCTTAGGATACACAGAGTAACATCACCAGGTTGTAGATTTGTTCTGTTAGGGAAAGTTTGTGTGGGTCTGGGGGAAAGAATATGGTGTTACCTGTGGCATAACAGCTATGGAAGCACTTGGGGAAGGTCATTCTCTAGTAAATCCCATTCAGCAGCACTAGATTTAAAGCACTTTAAATATATCACTGCTATTACAATGCTGCCTGTTGTCTTTCCTTTGTGAAGTGTGACTACAAAAACAAACAGCTCCCTCATTTTCAGGCTTTGGCCTCTGCCCTGCTCTTCCTTCGTTTTGAAATAAACACCTCACACAGCATGCAAAGGGTGGTGCAAAAATAGTTTATTACCGTATAGTTAAAGTTAGGTAATTATATTTACAAAGTAAAAATGATCAGCTACATCCAGGGGAGCCTAACATGTCACACAGGAGTTTGTAAGGAATAAATACGGTGAGAGACAGTGATGTTTCTGTTATGGTGAGCAGCTGGGAACAGTGGCTCTTAAAAAAAGCACTAAAATAAACTGGAAGGGAGAAGGGAAGGAGAGAGGAACTCACACACACTGAGCAACAGGAGCCTCCCACGCCATTCCCCTCTGCAGAAGGAAAGAATTCTGTGTGAGATCTGAAGCTGCAGCATCCCAGCGCTGTGCGGGCACCACTGCCCCCGCTCTGCTGCCAACTGTCCCAGCCACAGCCCGGGCTGGAGGCAGAGGACTGGCTGCTGCCTCACCCCATCACAGAAATGACTCTGGGAAGTGATTCTTTAGCCCTCACTGCTCGCAATTCCTTCGTGTTGTTTCCAGATACAGGTGGCAGAGCATGGTGCACATGTGGATTGAATCCAGACCGATCCCTGCTGGCTGCGGGTCAGTTGTTGGGTAAAGCTGTGCTCAGAGAGAACCAAGGCAAGCCTGTTCCTAGGGCACCATTAGCACCTGGACAGCCATGTCAGATACCTCGCACAGCCTTGTAGAGCTTCCTGCTCTGCCCCCAAACCTTCATCCTTTCCAATGAGTCTTTAAACTCAAGTCATCCAGAACTCCAGGTCCCCAGCAAGGTGGGCATGGGCCAAAGCCAGTGC